TGATGTGCACTGTCTTTGGGATAGGAAAGGGATAGTGCATCCAGACTTCACGGGACCTGGACAAACCGCTGCATCACAACACTGACTAAGCTTGAAGGCTCGAGCTTTCAGAGTCCCGCCAGAGAAGACATCTTTCTCTTGCAGCATGATAATGCCAGGCCCCACACCAGTTTGAAGACCAAGGAGCGTGTTGCCAGTCTTGGCTGGACTGTCCTACCACACCCACCATATAGTTTGGGTTTGGTGCTCCTAACTTCCATCTGTTCGGGTTGATGAAAGAAGGACCCTGTGGGCGACATTTTCTTAGCAGTGATGCTGTCATAGCAGCTGTGAAACCTCTGCTGGAACAGATGATACCAGATCATCTGAGGTACTAGACCATCATCACCAGATGATGGAGGCATTACTTTCAGAGCGACCTATTGAAAGGAACGGTGTCCCTGGGAGCAGCTGGTAGTTACAACATTTTGCTGTGACAGGGCTTAAAGTGACTGTGTCTTCTTTCAGCTCATCACATAAGAAGGCCAGACACAGCAATTTTTCAATACAGTTATTCTTTTGAAGATAACACATTTGCGAGATTGATGGGTTAATATCAGTTGTTGTGAATGTTTAAACAGGGCATGTTTGCTCATCACTGCCTCTTTATTTACCTTAGTAGAATGTTGTTGGCTTTCTTTATTTCCATTAATAGTTCCAATGCATTGACTAAATGGAAAGTGAACTAAAGCATGTGTGAAAAAATAACTTCTTAAGGAGAAAGCAGCGTAGTAAATTTTAAGACTGCTGTAGAGCACTTCTTGACTGCCGTAATTTCATAGTGAGCTGAGTGCTGTAATGAAAAATTCATGCAGAATGTTAGAGAAATTTTGTTGCTATACATACTACAGACAACAGTCATAGTGTCTTTAATGGAGTTTCAAAAGTTGGTGTAGACCAGGCTGCCTCCATAAATCCAGGGAAGAAAAGTACTTCTTGTTCCAGCCAGTTCTCTCAACCAGCCTACCACATGTCTTCGTGGCTGCTTATGCTGTGATAGATGGGAGGTGAGGTCTGCAGTCAGGAAAGGAAGTAGCACGTTAGTAACGAAAACAGTTCTTAGGTGCCAGAGATGGCATGTGTTAATCTGATGTTGATGTATGGCAGTTTTGCTGTCCCTCTGGCTTAAACTGATGGGTTGTACCAAAAGAACACAAGTGATGTAGGAAAGAAAGTTCCTTCTGAAAAATTAAAAACAGGTGTTCTTGTTCCTTTGAACCACTGGGACTGGACCAGTGAAAAAACTTTAGTCACCTGTCTGCCTCTGAAATTGATGAGAGTAGCTTTCTGCATGTGGGTTTATGAATGATTGAAGTCTGCAAGTTTCTTGTTTTATTGTGCTTCTAAATGACCTCTGAACTTCTCAAAGATCCTTTGTTATATTGCAGAGTACAGTTACAAATTCCTGGAAGTTACCAGCTGTGGTTAACTGCACTGTTAGAACCTTATGTAGAATTTGCCTTGTTTGTCCACAACAATAAACAAACACAAATCAGCATGGTAAGTGTGCCTGAATAGCAGCCTGGCGGCTGGAATGGCTGTGATCGATCTGTCGGCAGCTGGGAAGGATTCTGCGCAAGATCTTCACTTATTTCTCTGACAACTCCCTCGAGTATTTCTTGTTGAAGAGGAAGGGCAGCGTTCCTTGCAGACAGAGCGAGATCAAGTGGGCATGCCTGAGATCTGTGTGAGCTGAGATGAAGAGTCTATTTTAAGGCCCATGTGGACTCATGGTAATCTTCAGTCAGGGCTTCATTTCCGCCCATGGGGAACTTGTGGCACATCCAGCCTTGTCTCCCGCCTCTGGCCTGGCCAAGGAAGGGGGGACTTGGCTCATGACACTTTCTTATCCTTGAGTTGTTGGCTGTGGTTCTGAGGAGCACAGCAGCTTCCTTAATCCCTTTTCAGCTGCTGCTGTCAAAGCATCTTTTTCAGGATGCAGGCTGTTTTGCAAAGGGGAGCAACTGAAAGCTAGCTCATAGCTAACAACATTAATGCTGTCTTGGGTTCTGAGCTCTCTTTCCTTGAACCTTGGGTACTGTAGGCATAGAGTGGTTGTGTCTTACAGCTGAGTTTTCTAAGGCGAAGTTATTTTTGTGTACTTTTCCTCAGACCTTTCTGTTAAACCCTTTTGTCAGGTGCAGGCAGCCGAGCAGGGCCCTTTTCTTCTTCATTACAATTCACAGATAAGATCCCCCAGATAACACCTTGAATGTGTCTTGTTCAGATTTTGTTCTGTCACTGGCAGGTTTAGCCAGGAGAGAGGCTGTGACACAGAAGAAGGAAGTCTGCTCACTGCCATTTTGCTTTTGAGTCCTACCCAAAGCTCTGAAGGGAAGCTCCTGAGAAGAACCCATGTGGGTCTGAATCAATATTGCCGCTGGGCTGGACATGGCTTATGGATATAGCAGGTTGCACCCAGGTGCCATCTGTTCCCCTGCCAGAGTCCTACTGCTTGTCCTGATGCCTGGCAGAGGCTTCAGCTGACAAACTAGAGTGACTTTTGAGGCACTGCATCTGCATAGATGCAGATCCTACTTTAAAGCAGTCTCACTGTGTTCTTTCATGTCCTCCTCACAGTGGTCAGTGTGTAAAGACTGAAGCACATGGAGCTGCTTGGACTTATTTTTCCTCTTGCCCAAAATTGCTGCTCTGCTTTGCAAGTCCAGCGGACCTGCCTTCTGCACCATCTGCCAGAGGAGCTGGGGTGAGGTTGCATTGGAGGAGAAGCGGCAGCCCAGCCTGTGCCAGCCTCACCGACATCCCTGCCATGCATCCTCCTGCTAGGTGTAGTGCGTCTTGGTGCAGAGGGGATAGCTGTGCTCAGCTGCCAGGGCAGGGCTGTTGGCTTAGCACCGGCGTTGTATTCATAACCTACCGGACAAGGCTGGCCAAGGCAGCCAGCAGCAGTGACAGTGGGAAGTGGTTTTGCAGTCTTTAATTGCAGCTGTCACTGCTCTAAGCAAGTGGACAGAAAAGAGGTGGTTTCCTTGTTTTTCAGTTTGAAAATCTATTGGTTTTGGCTTAGTGTTCCACACATTAATGGCTCCCTCTTGTATGGCTCTGTGGCTGGTTGATGAGGGGTGATGCTCACCGCCGGGAAGAGACGTAATCTCAGTCACTGCTGTGAAGTGAGGATGGGTGGAGAAGCAAGGCTGGATGTGGCCACATGGTGTGCCTTTGAGTTTTGGGGACTGCTGCTCCAAGCCTGGGCATGCGGGAGCATTGCTGCAAGGGCTAGTGCTTCTACTGGGTTTGCTCTAGCCTTCACCCAGTATTTCAGTGAGAGGACAGAAGGTTTCAGCCCACCTTGTGCCTGATATATAAGCATCAGCTCATCACTAGAGGGCTTGAGGCTTGCAGAGACCTCCTGCTCTTGGTGAAAGGAAACTCATCCTGGGGAAAACCTTGCAGCTTTTCTCAGGGCAAAAAGCTTTTTGGTGTCTCATCAGTGATCCAGCCTGTAGTGAGGTGTTTGCTGATACCACACCACGTATATCAGCAGACAGCCTGCCTGTCTCTGGTAGTGTTCAGATGGCAGCAGGGTGAAAGCTGAACGGCACTGTACCAGTGCTGGTTGTTGCTGGGCACTAGCAATGGTAGAAATGTGATCAAGGGTCAGTTCCATTCTACTGGAGAAGCTGTAAGCAGTGGTGGAATTGGCAATAGGTCCAGTGATAGGAAGAGACACCTGAGAAGTGCATATTGGCTGAGAATGCAGAGCCTGGGGGATGTGGATGGGAATTGACCAGAGGAAAAAACTGTAGTGAAGTCACAGGATTTGCAGAGATGAACTATGCTGTGTCCTTTCACAGAGGAAAGAAAGTGGAATGAAACCAGAAGAGGGAAAGGCTGTCTAGCAAGAGCAATGAAGATGTCAGATATGTTTTGTTATAAAAGAGAATAGTTGAAATTTGCATTAATGCATCATGTTTGCGTCCTCTTCAGTGTCATTATACTATCTGAATGAGGAAGCTGTAGCTTAATTCTTTATAAATACAGTGAAGTCATTTCTGCCTCCCCTGAAAGTTTAAACAAGCTTTGAAACAGAGCAGTAACATTTCAAAGTAAGTTAAATCCCAGGATTTTTTTTCCCCTCAAAATACTAGGAACGTTACTTAAGGAATAATGTGTGCGTTTAAAAAAAAAAAAAAAAAAAAAAAAAGTATGTTTTGCAAACAGAAGTATTTGTGCAGCTTTGCAGAGCAGTCATAATAGCACAGCTGGAGGAGCTCCAGGGGAATCTATAAAAAGGTCTGTGTGTAATTAGTGCTGCCTTTTAAACACACAGAGGGAAAAAAAATGAGAAGATGCCAGCAAATTAGAAAAAAATGTACAACCTAAATCTTTGGGATTTGATTTAAATGTGACTACTAGCCCTAAATATATATAGATAATGGGTGTGAATTTGTTGCAGTTGTCTCAAAATTTAATAGAGTATGTAACTTTCAGCATTGCTGGCATGCTAGCAAGCAGGAAAGCTTCCTGAAAAGTTTCTGCTTCTGTAGAAGAAGGAATTTCTGAAAGAAAAAGTAAAGAGGATGCAGCTCTTCCATGAGGAATCCTGCTTGTCAGGCAGATCAGCAGGGAGCAACTTAGTGAGTCTTTCCTGAGTCAGGTGGCAAGAGCCACGCTCCATGCAAGAACTGAGAGAGAAGGAAAAGGGGAGAAATGTTCCTGCCATCCCTTTTGAAGATAGTATCTGTGTAGTTTTTCCTTGCATTGTATGTTTTCTTGGAAAGAAAAACTTGGAGCTATTTTTTCAGTTTCTGAAAGCAATCGTCATTTTCCTGCTGTGTCCTCGTAACAGGGTATTATAAAGCACAAATGTTGCCCCACCCCCCCTTTTTTTTCCCCAGTTTATTCTTCTTTTTTTTTTTTTTTTTTTTTTAAATGCTGATGATAGTGTTGCCCTGAAGAATTTGGTCTGACTTCTCCATGATCCATGCTGTCTTCCCCAGCAGGTGCTACCGTGGAATACATCCCTCATGGCCAACTTGCAGACACCCACTTAACTTCAAATTTGCAAGCACTGAAATTGGAGCAGGATGTAGTGCCTGCTCAGGGGGAGAAGACTCCTCTGGTGGAAGCTGTTCGGGGAAGGAAGTCCTTTTCTTCTCAGGACAAAACTCTAGCTGCAATTAACCTGACAGATGACCAACTTGCCTCTGGCCTTTATGGTAATAACTGGCTCGCATTCACCTTTCGTCATGCTGATGAGTTTGAATATGAAACACAGTTAAAGCAGGCCTTCAGGATTCCCAAAACAGGCAAAAAAACCTTGAAGTTACAGGGAGAATGATGCCTTTCGTATCCAGACACTGGTTAAATTTTAAGTGAAAGAATTCAGTCTGTCAGTGAAATACCATTTAACGCTTTCACAAGGAGAATGTACTGCAAGAAAAGGGGTTAATAAAATAACTTCAAAACAGAACAGAACTTGAACTTGTATGGAAGTTTCTTCTCTTTTATGTCTACAGACTGGTGTAAGAATTATTTTGGCTAATGCTAAAAATCTAAAAAACCAACCTTGACTAAAACTCCCCACACACAGATTATTGTTACTCATGCTGTTCATACTAATGAGTTGCTTCTGGTAATAGGCTGCTGTCATTTGACACCAAGAATTAAGATTTTCTTGACAGAGCAGAATAATCCATTTCAGTACTGAAAATCTCCCTTGGGCAGCAAATTAAAAAAAAAAAAAAAAGTTTTCTAGAAACATCTTAAAGATTGTCAGTGTGTTGGAGGGTAAGAAAGCTAGACTCTCTGAGTCTTCTGGTTACAGAGCTGGTTTTGAAATGTTCTCTATTTCCAGTCTGCATATAATGCCATGACACTATATATAAAAGGATCTCGAAGACCTGCTCAGCTGATAAATTAAACAGTAAGCTGATTGTTTTGAAAAACTGAAAGCTGCAGCCATCAAAGCTCACTACAGACTTGTACTGAAATATATGCTTTGCCTGTCTTTCAACAGTATGTAGTAACAGTGAAAACACACTCAAGTCTATCATGAAGAAAAGGGATGGAAAAAAGGATTTGAGCAACACCAAGAAGAACCTGCAGTTTGTTGGCATTAACGGCGGGTAAGGGGCCTGTCTTAAAACATTGAGTAATTACAGTGCTGTTTCAGTGGAAAGAAAAGTCAGTGAGTTTATGCATGGGCTTTGCCTGTCCTTGCATCTGAGGTACGTCCACTGAGTTTAAGGGTAAGAAGACAGAATTGAACACTTCAGCTCATCTTAATCTCCCTGAACCCTTTGTGCATATGTGTGTGTGTTATCTAAAGTGGAAGCTGCAGGTCATACTTGGAGTCAGTCTGGAGTACCTGTACCTTAGGTCACTGCCAGATTTAGTGGGAAAATAGAGCAAATTCCAAGAGCCACGGGAGTGCCTCTCAGTAAGTCAAACTTACGTCTTTGGCAGCTGACAAGAGCAGCATTGTGCTATTAAACAATGCAGGAAGGAATGGCTTTGCCTGAGAATTAACTTCCCTGGTCTGGGGCTAGATAAATACAGAATCTCGATGAAACAAATAAGGAAATATTACTTCAGCTTTGCAAAGACCTTTGAAGTGGTTTCATCAAGTTGTTTTTATATAGTTGTAAGCTCTTTCCTCAAGTTTTCCTTATTAAAGTGCTTGGTACTGTATATAGCCTAAATATTGCAATTACTTCATTTCATACATATTGGCTAAAAATATTATTACTTCTAGTGGAGGAATGTTGTGACTCATTTATCACTGTTGTGCATTAGAAAAATAGCCATAGTACATCAGTTTATCAGGTATAAAAGTTGGTGAGTTAAATTATCAAATTCATTTTATAATTGTAATTATCAAAATCATTTATTTTTCGCCTAAAGCATCAGCATGTTTTTCATCTTCACAGAAAAAAAAAAGTTAAGATTATGACTGTTGTCTTTAGAAAGCTCCTCTCCTACTAGCCTACCAAGACAGCAATATAATTTACTCTTTTTAAAAAAGAGTAATTCATCTGTGAGCTAAGGCAAGGGTGACAGGGTGTAAAGACTTTCATTTTTAAAAACTTTTCCTTCTTTTCTTACGTGTCATGCCCCTTGTAATCACAGTGACAGAATGAAGGGATCTGTGAAGAGATATCAGTTGCCAGTAACAATTTAATAAGTAATCTCTCAGATTTAAAAAAAAAAAAAAAAAAAAAGAGTAATTTGGTATTGTGTTTTCAGGTAAAAAAAAAGCATGATGACAAGAATGGCTTTCCCTTGCTTTCTGAGTATTCCCATTGCTAGCAGCAACGGATGTCACACTGTGGTTTCCAGTGTCCCATTGTGGTGGTGTTTTAAAAATGAGCTTTCACATTGGGGTGGCTTATGTTGATTGTGTGCATTCATACCTTCTTAAGTGCTTTTTGCAGTGAGTGTCTGGTAGGGTAAGCTTTGGGAAAGTTATTTGACTACCTGTTGTTTTTCAAAACATGAGACAAACAAACAAAAGCCCCTCTAAGCTGCCTTAGTGTTTAATAAGGGATTAAGTGCCTTTGTTTTTCTGAAGAGAAGACAGGTGAGTACCAAACATTACTGAATGCAAATGAACCTGCATTTTGTCCTACCCCAGGTATGAAACTACATCCAGTGATGACTCCAGCTCTGAGGAGAGCTCCTCCTCGGACTCAGAGGAAGAGTGTGATGGCCACGTGTACCCCCATGGCTGTGGTAGGGATGGGGAGCACCCTGTGCTTGGCCCCCCAGAGACAGGTGCTGCAGGGACTGCAAAGGACGGGCCTCCCCTGGAGTGCGAGGCTGAGGAGGTGGAGATCAGGGAGAGGTAGGGTGCGCCCTGCAAAGGGGTGATGGTAAAGAGGGCACTGGGATGGTTTAGGTGGCCTCATGTATGTGAGAAGCCCATTCTTTTCAAGCTGGCTGCTTGGTAGAGTTGTGTGAGAGCTGGCAGCCCGTGGAGCCACTTGGGACTGAGCACGGTCCATGCAAGCTGGTAAGTGGAGCATCTCCCAGCCCTGGAAGGGGGGCTGCCAGAACAGCTCCTACCTTGCAGCCAGCCCAGAAATTCACATTTCCCCGTAATTCTCAGAAAGGCGAATACTTTGATGTTGAAATGCTGAGAGGAGAATTTAAATATGCCGTGTGTTATGCTGTGTGTCTCTCTCAGGTACGAACTAAGTGAGAAGATGCTTTCTGCTTGTCACCTGCTGAAAAACAACATTGATGACCCCAAGGCATTGACCAACAAAGATGTGGTAAGCAATACAGTGCAAAATTCTTGCTGTGCTACACAGGGAAATTATAGGGAGGTTTAGCTTCCTGTTTTATATGGCTGGAACCACTGTGGCTAGACAGAAAAGGATATCTTCTTTCCTGGAGGAGTCACTAAATGCTTTTTCTATCAGGAGACATTTGTCTACGGAATGTGCTTGTGCTTGATGGGCTGCAGTGTCGTTGTCCTAAAGCACACGTGTAAAAATAGTAATGTGAAAGTGCAGTTCAACACATCCGTGCATTCCTGTGTTATTTCTGTAGTGTTGCTGTAACCCTGCTGCAGATGGTACTCAGTCCTCAGACTGGGAGGCACACAGGATGAGGGGGCTGTTTCTGCCAATGACAGAAGCCCAGGGTCTGTTCTGAACGTAAACAAGCTGCCTCTTCTTAAAGACAGAGATGTATACTTCTTTCTGTCTTTCCAGCTATGCTGGTAGGTTTTGTGTAGTGTGCAGCAGGGACAATGGAGGATTTGTTGCTTATACTGTCTCAAGAAACAGAGTTGTGTTTGCTGCATAAGGAGTTGCCTGTGCTGTTTTCTGAGGATGATCTCAAAGAAACACTGGTCACCACTTAGTGTTATAAAACTACATTTGCCATCTGCTGCAGTGGTGCTGTGATGTAAAATGCAGGAATCCAGTGCCAGTCTCCTCTACTGTGAGCTTCTGCAGCTTCCCAGAGAACCTAATACTATGTGTGTATAGTTCGGACACATATGTGTCAGGAACATTTTGAAAGGTGGTTTAATATAGATGTGAGGGGTAATTTCATCCTGCATCAGTCCTTCAGGAATAGTTTAGGCATTCAGAGAACAAAGGCTTTTGGGCCCAGTTGGAGTTGAAAGTGTCAAAATTGCATAATCAGGTGATAATCTCTGCCTTCAAAGCGTGATACGAATTTACACATTACTTTTTTCTGCTTAAAGTATTTGCCAACACAAGTGGTGCTTTGTAGCTGGAAATGGCAGACTAATCAGCTCTTGTTCTCTGTCTGGCTGTTGATAAAGAAGTCTTGTCCAAAAAGGGCAAACTTTAGTACAGTTAGGAATCTGTATAAACTTCCCGAGCCTTTTCCAACACCCTCAACACTTACAGCAGCTGTTCGCATCAGAAAGAGCTGAAGCCCACTCCTATTGGGATGTCATAGATCGCTGGAATAAAAAATTGTCCCTTTCAGTTATGCTTGTGATAATACTGTGACTGCAGAGAATAAATTCCAAGTGATACTTTGAACTAGATCATTTATGAGATTTTAAAAATAGAACCAAAAGAACCCAAAAGTTATACTGTGTCACTTTATGACCACTTTCATATTTCAACTCATGATATATGTGTTCTTAATTCAAATGAGTTGGACCTTACAAGCTTTTATGAAGGAATACTGATGTAGATGAAAGTAAAATATTGTGCCTTCACCAGACATGATCTCCCTCTAGGGCTGCTGGTACAGATGTTCTCTCTTGTCTCTAGAAGCTAGAGAAGCACACTGAGTTATCTTCTCTGCAGAATTGTTTTTAAACTCACTGGTTACCTTGCAAGTAAGAGTTGTGAGAAGAGAGAACAGACATGGTGATCCTCACATGAATTCCAGCTGCTGAGAAACTGGTTCAGAAAATAAGAGCTGGCTGCGGTTGCAGAAGCCCCTGTGGCTCACGGCTGGGACTGCTGTAGCTAGATGGTTCCCAGCAGACAGCTGTCTGGCCTATGGGGCTCCTGCTCCTTCGTACCAGTGGGAAAGTTTATCCTCAGTGTCTAACCTGCATCTCTTGTTGCAGCTTAAGTCCATTACTACTTCACTTGCCCATCCGGGAGGTGAAAAACTGGTTCTTCTTTTCTCATTACACCAGCCTTTTTCACTGTGAAAATGTTACTGTGTTCCTTTCCCTGGTTGTTCTGTCAGCAAAGCATCTCCAGTCCTTCCATCTTTTCCATACACCAGAAATCCTTAACTAATAATCATTCTTGTTGCTTACCCTTGGAACTATTTTGAGTTAATATTTCTTGCTGTTTGGTCATCAGGCAGGATAAGGTCGTCCAACAGTTGCATTTGCAGTGTAAGGCAGAGAAAAGGGACTCCACTGCATGCTCTGCAAAATATTAACCTGTTTATTTATCACAAAACAGTGTTTGCCTGTTTCATGGAAGGTTCAATCTATGATCACCTGCAGTGCTCAGCTCTTGTGTTGCAGAGATTCTGTTCAGCCAGTTCTCCTATACTTTGTGCATTTGATACTATATTTGATATAATAGATGGGACTGCACCTTATTGGCTTTGTATGCTGTTGTTTTAATACCTGCAAAATGTCTGTTCCCATTGCTCTTGCTCCTGGTATTGTTCTGGGGGTAACCCCATCCTAAAATGCAGTGCCTTTGGAGATGTATCAGGTTTGAAAATACAGTAAGTGAGAGGAGGTGAATTGGTTTATCTTGAAGAGAGGTTTGGTCAGAGGAATAGCTTCAGTCTACGCATATTGTTTGTGAACTGAATACTTTCTTCCCACGTTTGACTAAAAAAGGCCTAGTTTCCCACATCACTGACTTGTGGTATGGCAAGTCCTTTAAATGGAATGCCCATATGTAAATTTTTCTGTCTTCCTTTTTGGCAGAGGTTTTGTTTAAATACCATCCAGCACGAGTGGTTTCGTGTCTCAAGTCAGAAGTCAGCTGTTCCTGAAATGGTTGGAGACTACATAACTGCTTTTGAAGAGATTTCTCCTGCTGTCCTCAGACATATCATCAATGTGGCGGATGGAAATGGGAACACAGCTCTGCATTACAGCGTCTCGCATTCTAACTTTGAAATTGTAAAGCTTCTTTTGGATGCAAGTAGGTTGACTGTTGGTGTATTTTTTTTATTCTCACAGGTGGAAGTCTTGATGAGCAAGAGATAAAGTTCAGGCTTCCTCCAGCAGCAAAATATTTTACTATTAATAATTATATGGTGTCTTGCTTAGATACTATAGAATCCTTGTTTCTGCTGCTGGCTTTGGAAGTGATGGCTCTTGCAGGGTTAATGAAACACCTAAGTAAACCCCCCTGCCTCTCAGACTGTAGTCAGATTTAGCAGCATCAGCCTCCAGCATTTTCCTTTGGAAGCAGTGCAGCTGCTGCTCAGCCAAAAGTAGAGTGCTGGTAGGGAAAGATGCATTCAGATATAAACATCCGTGTTAAACGCTCAGATCAGTTTGGCCTTATCTCACTAGAGCAGCATAGAGCTGTTTCTGGCCAACACTGTGGCACAGTTTTTACTGCTCTCCTGAGAAATGTTGTGGCAGTTTGCCATACAAGAGTATTTCCCTGTTAGATGAACAACATGATGATGCCTCATTTTGTTGTTTTTCATTGTTGCTGCTTTTCTCTCAGAAGCCATGCAACACACATAGTACCACACAAGTGCTAAACCAGGAGGCAGTGAACAAGAGGTGTCACATACTGGAGCAGATTCCAAGCAGGATGTGATCTGTTTAGGCCTAATTTTGCTCCCTGACTGAAGTGTCTTTCTGAAAGCTAGGTATAAAACTTGTCATGGTTGTGTGGCTCAGCTAGGTCCTGCAGCATGGCTGGATTGAAATGCATTGCTTGTAAGCTGGAAATGTTTACAAATCCAAAAGTGCAGCACTGGATAAACAAGGACCTTAATCATACAGATCTTAGCTTTAAGAAGCTTTAAGAGTCCATCTTGTCTGTCACAGAGGCAAAAACTTCCTCAGCTGTAAAGCAAACACCACTTTGAAATCCCTGGATCTGTGTGAAGGCAGCCTACTTAGAAAGAGTGACTCATGGTAGGGGAATGCAGGGAATGTCAGGGGGACGCTGAAGTGCAGCAGGAGGGCTACAGGGGAGGAAGAAACTGCTCATCTACTTCAAGGAGTCTGTCAGGGCAGCTTGAGCATGATTATGTTTTGCTGAAAGTCAGGACTGCTGTGTTTTGTAGCAATCTTGTATCCATATGCAAACAGAAGCTCTTAACAGCAAAATACAAGCATGGCAGATGTCAGGTGAGCAGAAGCATACTGCAGACATCATCACTTGAAAAATGATTTAAGATGTTTTTCCTTCAGCTTCCAGTCTTCACCTACGTGATGTCTGAGTGGTGACCACACTCAGCTTTGCAGTCTGCACGTAGCACAGGCAGCTTCTTAGCCCAGGAGCATCCATGCACTTGGTGAGAAGAGCAGTTGAGACAGGAGGTTCCTGCATCACCAGGCAGCGCTACTCAGAAACTAAATTAGGAAAATACCCTTTCTCTTTTCATTAGCCACATAGAACAGGAGCTGAAATGTGACCTCAGGAAATACATCTCTGCTGAAGTAGTTTAGTCAGGGAAGGAGAACATAAATTTCAACAATTATTAATTACTCATGAAGTAGTGTGTGTAGGAGAGTACTATGTTCTGTGGTTTGAATGGCTTCCCAAGAGAGACTTCTGAAAGGAAAGTTGTGTTACATGTTGCAAGGTAGGACAGGTGATGGTTGTGGAATATGGAAAAATTTTCTTTTCTTAGACCTATTTTCTTAGACCTGCACTTGAGTGCTTCTGCAATGTTCTCTCTCTTTTTTTTTTTTTTTAATTTTTTTTTTTTTTAATACTCTTGGCAATAAATCTGAAGAATTTCCTGAAACAGGTTTTCTTGTTGAGGTGCTCTTTAGTCCTAGGTCTAGATATATAGTTTATGTGAGTCTGAGTCCTTGCTTTCCATTACACTGAAAGCCCTGCTTTCTGGTAAACTCATAAGACCTGCTGGATTTCTGCAGAATGCTAGGAACAGAGATTTGGAGGTTAGAAGTGACTGAAAAGAAGAACTCTTGTCAGCTTCTAGCACTAGTCAGATGACTATTGTATTTGTTGTATTTGCTTATATTTGTTCCCAGAGCATCTTTTTTTAGAGTCAAATACTTGGTGGAGCTGGAAGCAGCCTTTAATTGTAAGGTCTTTTCTATAGTTCCAGAACGTGTCAAAGTACACTTGCAGGTATTTAAAATAGTACCAGTTTCAGGAAAAATGTCTGCACTGATGAGAAGTGGCTTTTCCACTGACCATGTCACTGGACTGTTTTGACTTTGCAGTGGTCTTGCCCTCAGGAGAGGAGCTTAAAGACTGTACTGATTGTGTTCCTAGGATTTGGACCCATGACCCTGAAGGCTATGTCAAATTTCAGACCACTTGTTTTTATAAAAAAACATAACTCTAAATGATGACATATAAAATATCTTTGTGTACTCCTTTGAGTCATGCACGTAGTATAAAAGGATCCTTTTCTTCCTCAGGCTCAAGAGCACCCCTGTTTATTTTTTCCTCTCCACTTTTCCTTGAATCACTTCCATTATGAGAGCAGTTGATGCCTTTTTTTTCTGTAGTAGGCTGCTCTACTAACAGTTTGCTCGGTTCATTAGCACAATTGCTGCTTTTTGGGTTCATACTTTCCAAAGGAATTATCTCATCCCTCTGCAGATGTCTGTAACGTAAACCATCAGAACAAGGCCGGCTATACCCCCATCATGCTCGCCGCTCTCGCAGCTGTGGAAGCTGAGAAGGACATGAGGATAGTGGAGGAACTGTTCAGCTGTGGGGATGTGAATGCAAAAGCCAGTCAGGTCAGCCAAGACAGTGTTCCCACTCCTATGCATTTTTTCTTTTTTTCCTTTCCTTCCACATTCCATTCCTTTCTCTATTGGTATGGTTTTTGCACTCATTCGCTCACCCTTCAAATATTCAAATGCTTACTTTTCTTATATTTGTTGATTTTTTTTTTTTTTTTTTGATTGCTTTGTACAAAATGAAGCCATGGAATGACACTTGAGCATCAATTCTGTATGTCTTCTGTAAATATATAAAGAATTATATGAAAGAGCCATTACAGATTTTTGGGAGGCATTTCCGAATTCTGCAGTATTTAGTTCCTTCCAAGGAGCTCCACAAGTCTGGAAATGAATGTGATGTTTTCATTAATTTATTAAATAACTGTGCAAATGTTAGATATGTATAAGATGTTCAAATAATGGCAAGCAGAGACCTGATGGTCCTGTACAAAGAAATGTTTCCCGTGCCACCCCCCAAGAGAAAGCACAGTGCCAGCAACAACAGCAAAAGATGTGCATGTTTTGCCACTGATTGTCTTTGCAGTGATTTGTTTTCTTGTCATTTTTTACAGGCTGGTCAGACTGCCCTGATGCTTGCTGTGAGTCATGGGCGAATAGATATGGTTAAAGCTTTGCTGGCCTGTGGTGCAGATGTCAATATCCAGGATGATGAGGGTTCTACAGCTCTGATGTGTGCTAGCGAACACGGACATGTTGAAATAGTCAAACTTTTGCTGGCTCAGCCTGGGTGTAATGGCACCCTGGAGGACAATGTGAGTTGCCTTTCCAGATGGTGCTTCATCAGATAGTTCTCTGCTCTAGAATGCTTTTCAGATTTAGTTTTTGGACTCAGTGAAAAGCTGCTGAAGTCTACTGACAGGAATCTCTTGACTTCCAGCACCAAAGTACCAAATGTATGAATCCTGTTTTGTGATAGAAGCTGCTCTGATCATTTGCCTGGTTGTTACCTTTGCTTTTCTAACTGACCTTCCCAGCAGCTGTTTTTGCGGGTAGCTGTAGGTGTACAGTGACCAGAAGAGAAACCATTTGCTAGGTAAAATATCCCTCTCGCTTCCCTTTCTTGTTTTTCAGGAGTCTTCCAATTTTCAAACAGGATTTTATCTGGCGACTTAATGGCCATGTTGCTTTGTTTTTCTGTGTCATGGCAAGTAGTTCTCACAGGATATTCACTCTGTAGGCACACCACAACTTCTGAGAGTACAGTTTGGGACTGCCACTCATTACAGTACATTATCCTGACAAGAAGTAGATATGGGATATGGCCTCAGTGCCAAGTGGCATATTTCTTGTTTGCAGATACCATTACAGCCTACACTGTTAACAGACAGAGAATTTGATGTGTGGAGTTCTCAAGGTTGAAAATGTTAGCTTAGTTGGTTTCTGTGTTCTTGTTAACATCACCACCTTTTGGGTACATTTCAGTTCTTCCTGTTGCTCTTACCCCTCAGAACACTGAAGTGGAGCTGGGATTTGGGAGGGTTTGGGTCATTACTGGTTGAAACTGTTGTAGAGAAGCAGAGACATTACTTCTTGACTTAACTGCTGCATGAGCCTCTGCAGTGTAGTTGCAGTGTGCAATAGCTGCCTGAGGGAAAAATGTAGAAAGGGGTGTACTGTAAAATGTCCTTTTTAGGACATCTAGATTAATGTAGCCTCAATGCTGTTAGTGCTGTTAATCATTTCAGTAACTAAAGCATTTGTAGGGACATGGAATTTAAATATTCCAGTAGGCAGCTTGATGCTGTTGCCTAAACACAGCTTGTCTGCCACTTACTTGCTGCATAGTGAGTTTGTGCTGAGATTTTTAGCATTCCCCTAGCTATTCTGAATGTGACTGACCCTTCTATAAGCAGTGTGGTTGATAGTGAGCTGAGCTTTATTTTACTAATGTGCACCACTCTCGTAATGGTTTACCACACCAAAATAAGTGAGCCTTGTTTTTCCTGGTGTGGGCTGTGGAGTTTTGTCTTGAATTTGTTATGCATTATGTCCTGTCTCCCAAATCTGCACAGGACAGTTAGGTTTCTTCATAATTACTCCCTGTAGTCTCAAAAGGAAACTTTCTACTTGGATGCTGTTTATCACATCCACAGCTGGAGAAATGGTTTATATCTTCCTTAAACTGGTGGTGACCTTTCTGATAACATCTACAGCAGTGGCTGGAAATGGTGCTGCACTCAGAGAGCCTACGTAAGAGGCAGCCTCTATAAGAGTACTCTGCTTTTAGCAGCTTCAAGGACTGTGGTTTCTGAAAGAAATAGTACTTCCTGAGAAACTGAGGTGACTGTTTGACCAGTAAAATTCATTTATTGTTTTTTAGGTTGCCATCATTTAAAGCCGTGCATTTGGAACTATGAATGTCAGTGTTCAAAGTGTTAATGGCAGTTAGAACATAACAGTGATTATGATAATACAACAGTTACCATATTTGATGAGCACTTACCCCTCCCTTCTCTTACTCTCCTGATACTGTAGTTTCTCTCAGACCAATCTTTGAAAATAACAATTCTTTCAGAGCACTACACATAACGTTGTGATAATGGCATGCTTATTCCTGCTCAGCAATAATCTCTTCTCCTCATTGAGAGAAATTATGGCCTCTGACAATTGGATTGTCTCATAAAACAGCAGTGCAGAGGTTTGTTGTCACTTAATTATAAGAAATTGAGCAAGACTTAAAATTAATTCAGCTATCTGAGCAGTAGGATCTCCGCTTCTGTGTGAGCTCTAGGGCTTTTAAGAGAACAATGAGAGGACACAAGAACAAATTATCTTATTTCTTACCTTTATTTCTTTCAGGATGGCAGCACAGCACTTTCAATAGCCCTGGAAGCTGGACATAAAGATATAGCAGTTCTCCTTTATGCACACGTCAACTTTTCCAAAACCCAGTCACCGGTAAGTACACAACGCACTGAATTTTTCACATGCAGTTTACATTTTAACTTGCTGTTCTGACTGTATTAGTGAAATGCGAGCAAAAACTGAAACCCACTTAATCTGTACAGCACATGAAGTTTCAGGTTTATTCATGGGAAAATTTTATGCTGGTAAGTGAAATGTATATTTTTAAATGCAGACTAACTCCATTAGCCTGATTCCTGGCCAATTATACCACCTTCTGCCTTGTTACCAGCAGTAAAAGCAGCTCACCACTGGGTCTCAGAAATCTGGCTAGCATGCAGAGGTGCTTTTGCATCGTTGTAATACTAATTATTGACCTGGTCATGAAAACAAAGCTGTTTCTGGAGTTAGAATTGTCCTTGATATTCTGGTGGATGCCCACTTGTTCTTAGAGGCCTGACTCAATCTCTTGATCAACTATTGCTAAACGTTTCACTGTCTAAACAACTTTCACTCCTGGTTAATTGGTTGTATGATAGCTAGTACTGTTCTTCCAAAAATGGGGAGAGAAAGAAAAGATTAATTGTGCAGTGGAAGGGAAGCAATCAAACAGAGAGCTTTGTGAGTGCTGTGTTTGGCTGGCTAAAATATTTTCCTTGTGATTAATTGTTCTTTCCTTTTTCTTAGGGCACTCCTAGACTTAGCAGAAAGACATCTCCCGGTCCTACCCACAGAGCTACATTTGAGTAGTGCTGCATGAATACTTAAAAAAATTGTAATGCCATCTTCAAGCTGCTAAATTTTACTGTTTTACTGGGACAGATACTGAATGTAATTGTCTTGTGCCTGAACTCACCAGCAAAGTGAAAGCAGAGACCTAGTGCTAAGGATAAAAAACCCTTAAACTTGAAGCAAGCGTATAGTTAGGTAGTACTCAGCTGAGAGCCTTAGCCAGAACTATTCTTTTTGCTCACTTACTCATCTTTCCATACACTGGCATTAATGCTGTTTTTCTTTTAGATTGTCTTTCCCTATGTTATGTGCTGCCTAAGAGGTCTAAAGCTATCCTTGCAGGGGGTCCCGGTGGCTTGTTTTAAATCGTTCTAAAACATTTATGTTTACTGTGCCTAAACGTTATCACAGTAACCTTCTCATAAATTTCATTCCAACACAGTTTTGATGTTTTTAATTATTCTGAAATTGAGACGTTGCAGTTGCTTATATAGTGAGCTCCATGAAACTTGAGCTGGTGGGTGACTGGATTAGATGCTGGGGATAGATCCTCTCGTGAGTTCAGAAGTTCACTAAGTAACTTGTTGCTAATTGGGGATAATATATAACTTTTATATGAAAGATAATAATGTCTATAAAATTAACTCGCACAGTATTTTCAACATTTTATATTCCTTAGTAATTAAAAACTACATGAAGAATTACATGTCACGATACCATATTTTTATTAACTGTGTCAGTGTATAAGCTCCATTCATGTTTATTGGAGAGTAAAATTAGAGGTACCAGCTGTATATTCCCCATGAGTGGAAATGAGTGTAGTTCTCGGTGCATATTTATGGAATGCTACTACCTTGTCACATTCACTTTAGTCATGTGTATTTAAATGTTTGAAGTGCCTTAGACTCTTGCCATATTTTCAAAATAAAATTTCATTATGCTGTTTTATTTCTCTCCTGTTTTACATATGATTTGTCATCATCCAGAAATGCTGCAGATTATACATGCAGTAGCAAAACAGGATGGATTGGTAAATCAAGGCAGGGAGGACTGGATAGTTTCAACCCTTGGGGGTTGCTGATGCAGACACCATCAGTGCCCATGTTGGCAGAGTGAAAAGCTTTGCCTAATACACCTGCCTTCACTAGTCTTGTGCCTGCTGTGAAGGCTGGATGGACAGCCTCTTTAATGTCCAGGTGAAGCATTGTGGGGAGGCAATAAAGAACAGTGCTCAGGTGGTTTAACATAGTTCTTGTAAAGCAGTTACCAACTGAATAAAACCTTTGGGTTTTTATCTTCCAAGAGTTTATGTCTCAACATAATAGTCCCAAAGAAGCTCCCCCATTTCAACATCAGTCAGTTTGTGCTATTGCACCTTCTGTATGTTGTACTTCTCATTCCACTTAGCATCCAATTCTGTGTGGATTCTTAGCTATCTTACCTATCTGCTAGTTATAGAGGTATGACACCAGTTGGCCAAATTGTTGTGAAATCAAGATGTTCTCTCTGACACCAGACTGACAGCAAGCAGCAGCAGCAGTTAAATAAGTAAGTAAATAAATAAAACAGTAAAAAATGCTCCATGCTTTGCCAGCTGCACTCAATTGGAGATGGTTGGTGCCTGATGTCATGTGTGCCCGAGCTGGGCTGTGCCCCACATGTGCACCTGCCACTGGTGGCACAAAGCAGCACCCACTGTCACCATGGCTGGGGCCTCAGACCAGCTGCCTCACATCCTTAATGCAGTAATGTCTCTGCCTGAGCATCGGACACATGGAGTGCATGACACCAGCATGGGCTTCCTTACAAATTTCACACTCATGTTGGCACTGGGAGAGCTTCTGGTTCAACAGAATTAGTGGAAGTTTGATCCCTTCCACAACCCTCTCTTGTTAGAGCATGATAAAGCGAGTGCTTTATCCCCTTGGATATGTCCATTTGTCCCCTTGGACATTGCCATTTCCCCTCCCAAATACACCAGGCATTGGTGGTGGTGAGGTGAAGGAGAATGATCAGTGAGGGCAGGTGCTGCTGTCTCAGACCAGGTTGGGTCAATGAGGCACAAGCTGTTGGTTTTAGAACTGTTGCTGTGCCACTTCTTGCCACTATTTGGACAACAGGCTGGAGAGCACACTGGAGTCAAGATAGTTTGATTTGTCCTTAGGATTTTAAGATGAATGCTATGATGCTGTTAAACAGATCAACCTGATGAAATGGAAAAAAAGGATGACTGCTTCAATCTGTCTCCAGAACATGTTCTACTTAATGTATTTCTGATTTCACAGAAAATCCAGGCTATTTATTTATGTTTGCCTGAATCTAATGGATTAAATTCCATCCAGTGGAGAGACATTGTGTCAACAAGACAGAATCTGGACCAGGGACAGGTTCCTACTTTCTGTTTTACCAAGAGTATAACTTTTATTTAGTGCTGACCAGAAGCCATTTAGTTGTGCTTCCTTAAGGAAATTGGTAATCATACCCTTAATTCTGGCTTTTAGCTCATGACAGCAGCTTTAAAGCCTGTTGATCACTCCAAAATCTGACTTTCTCAAAGTGTTTGTTGAGGCATCTGACATCCTCTTGGGTACTGTCCGCTTTGCTGTTGCAGATACCTTTCACAGCAGCGTGTCCACCAGGTTTTTGTCACCAAAACAGTTTTTCAAACATTATTTTTTGTGCTGCACTGCTACACTGCTACCATGGATCATACATGCCTTTTCCTATGTAATGTAGCTTGAGGTCGAAGAAAGATTTGAAGCATGTGTGAATTTAGGTTTCAGAGTAGAGGACTCTAACTGCTAAAATCTGAACCGGTGTATGTTCCCATCTCTCCCACCACAATTTAGTAGGAGTCTTGGGCAAGCAGCTATCCTAGAAGGGTTTAAAATAATTGGTTCAGTGATTTTGGTGTCAAATGAGAGAGACAGACACACCAAACCTACCTTTATCATCTTTTTTTTTCCCTGAAGGAGTGCAGAAAGTGAACATGCCACTCTCCTCTTTTTTTTTTTTTTTTAGGGAAATGTAGAGAACTGGAATGTCAGAAACAAGTGTGTTAGGGGATATAGTTGTTCAACATGATTGTATTGCTTTCTGATGGCACTGGCTGGCAGAAGTGTCAGGAGCAATCTGACTCTTCCAACTGCATGCAATAGGAGGACTACACAAATCAGGCTTATTGGGTTAATTTAGCTATTCCCCCTTCATAAGCAATAGGATTGGCCTTCATTGGCCAACTAGAGTTTAAAAACCTTTAAGGGAAGCTCTGGATTTTGCTTTTCCATGCAAAGTCCAGTTTCTTCCCAAAGGCTCACTGTCCTGGACTAAGATGTAAAGCAGACTGCTCCCAGTTTTATTTGTATGTTGAAGTGGACCATTGTGCCATGTCACCTCAGGAAGAATGTGAAAAATAACCGTAGCTTTGGATGTTTTTATGGATTCAGGTGAAAAGGACAGAGTAAGGAGAGTGCACAAACCTCAAGGAGAATCAGGTAGGGGTTAGGAAAGAGTTCTTCACCAGAGGATGGTGGGCACGGAACAGGCTGCCCAGGGCAGTGTGCACAGCCCCAAGTGATGGAGTTCATGGAGTGTCTGAACACCACTCAGGGTCTGAAATTTGGACTGTCCTGTGTGGAGAAAGGATTTGGACTTGATGATGCTTGTGGGTGCCTTCCAACTCAGGATATTCAGTGAGTCAGTGCATGTTATTTCTGGTCAGTGCATGTTATCTCAGGTCTCTGTTATCTCATTTGGGGAGATGTAGTATGTTCAGAAGCATAAGCAGTTAAAAAGAAGAAAAAAATACTATTAAAAAAAAACCCAAACATTATATAATAATTACTTCTTCTATCATTTGTTCTCTTTGATGGCCCTCTTGTCCCCAGGAGGTTGACACCTGAAGTACCTGACGCTGTGAATGTCAGTGTTTTCCCCAGTAAATAGTGGGGAGGTTCCCAAAAACATTTGTATCCTCCTGTGCCCTGTGCCAGCCGAGTTGAATTCCACCTTCTAGTGCTGGATAGCGTTTATCACAGGTGCTGGGATTAGGGGGTTTACCATGCATACCAGCTTTGAATTGAACTCCCCCCACACACACTCCCAGGCATTTGTTTTCCAGTTGAGATGAGATGATGATTGACTCTCGGTATATCAAAGCGTGATATTGTCTTCACCTTTGAACTCCAAGCCTCAGTGAATACATAAAATCCCTGACACTTTTTCAAGGCTGTAAAGGACTTTACTGTCCTATTCCAGTTAGACTGTTACACATGAAGTGAAGCTCAGTGCTGCATACAATCGCCCTAAGAAATAAGAAGTGAGATTTTTTGGTTATTTGTACCAATCTTTACGTGATGGCAATTGATCTAAATGCATTTTTGCAAGGCACGCTTTCAGAGTTATTCTAGAAATAGACTTCTGTCTGCTTCTCCTGGTATCTCATGCTTTTGGCTGAGAAGCTGGGCTGCTCTGAGGCCAGTTCAGCCTGGTGTGAGTAATACAAGCCTTGGCATCAGTCCCTAACATAGGCCTGGCTCAGTTTGCTAGGATGGAAGCAACCCAAAGGCTACAGACATCTTTGTGCCTTTGAACAGCAGCAGCAGAACTGGCTGTGAGCAGCTCTCTGCTGGGCTCTGTCTGCGTGCAGGCTTTATCCTTTCCTCCGTTCCAGACCCACTGATGGAAAGATTAACCACAAACCCTTCCCAACGAAAAGGAGAAGTGTCCAAACTGGGTCTGCATCCCTGGGATGCAGGTGAAGTGTGGGCACTTGGTCTGTCCCTGAGCAGGGAGCAGAGGCAGGAGACCAGGCAGGAGTGCCAGAGAACATGCAAGGAGAATTTGGGGCTAAGCATTTGGGGAGGTGACAATAATGAGATTAGAGGAAAGGGACTCTGAGATTTGGATTTCTTTCATACTCCAGTTGGGAATTGCAGAACTGTTTGACCTCCTGAAGGTCTGGTGTAATGCAGAGTGAAGTTAATGAAAAGGTCCCTACTGACTCCTGCTGAGTTTGGCAGCTGTGATTCTGCACGTCTGTTCTGAACCCCAGTGCCTGGTCAGAGTTCAGCTACCAATTGCTGTCCATTTCTGCCAGTTGCTCCACAGTTCACTTGGATAACATCACTCAGCAGATCAGTACTTTTCTGCTTCTCTGTAAGTACTTGTGGGCAGGCATGTGCTCTTACTGGCTGCAGAACAGTGACTGTTTGGGAACCTCTGTAAAAGGTATTTTGCAGAAAACACTACAACTACTTTTTTGCAGAGATGTCTGTAGCAACTTCTTAGAAGTGTGTGTGGAGCAACACATCTGTTTCGTGCCAGGTTTTTAGGCAGTGGAGCAATACACCAGATTCAGTGATGGTGGAAACAGTTCTGCCTTGCAAGCAATGTATGCATATATCGATCAGTGCATTGGATAGTTCTTTGTTAGGAGTGATTAATGAATTCAGTGCCTCAAGAGCTCTGTTGGAAGTGTTCCGCCATGATATGCATCTCCATCTTCCACATTAGAAGAAAAAGATAAGCCTGTTTCCGCACACACCCATTCCATGCAGGTCCCTGGCAGACTCTCATGAATAAGATGTTCATCAGGAAGAATGGGAGCTTCCAGACAGCACCTGTTGGCACCTTTGCGGGGTCAGTGTGGCACAGGGAAGCATTATCATCCTGTGCCATTTTATCCACCCGCTCCTTCACCCTTTGCTGCAGCCCAGATGAGTGATATACCTTCCCTTGGCCAATTCTCCCTGGACACCATTTTCGTGCATGTTTTGTTTGGTTAACCAACACAGCCAGCACCAGCAAAGACAAACTGCCTTTTAAATAATTCTTGCTATATAAAACTGCCCTTCAGAGACCTCTGCAGTAGAGATCTGTAAATAAAAGCACTATTATACTCTTAAGCAGAGTATTATTAAACACCTTCAGACATGAAGAGCAGAAGTCAATCGCCATGTCTTTCAGACACATCTACAAGCCACCTGTTGTGTGTGGTGAACAAGCTGTGATGTATCTGTGTTGCTGTTGGGCATTTCTGGGCCCAGGGAGCCACGTTTTTTTGGTCCCAAGGTGTGTTGGACTTGCAGAACAGCCACTCACAGCCCTGTGGCATTGCAAAGGGCATTGCAAAGGTTAGCAGGCACTTGATGGACCAGAAAATGGCTTCCTCACACAGCACAGTCATTCCTGCAAGTTTGTCTTGAGAATTTTCCAGTTTGACTATACGTATTGCTCGTGGTGGCTTAACCTGCAGGAGGTTTAGCAGCAGGAGGAGCAAGAAACCCGTTCATGTCTCCTGTGGTGGATGCAGATTTGGGAGGGGTGTAAGCAGAGCAGCTGCATGAAGAGGTTGAGAGTGATTAGAAACACAGACTGATAAAAGACATGAGATTTGGAAATGAGAATTAGGAAAATCAGACTGAAACAACTGAGGGAAAATAATGCAAGTTTGTGGGAGTGGCAGAAGACTGGAAACCTGTAATGTGGGGAGAAACCTTGTCTGAAAGTGAGCTAAGGAAGAGCTGGTAGTGATGAGAGTAGAAATGGCCCATGCGTGTTTCTGCACCTGGCCATCAGCAAGATATTCAAAAGGAGACTGATGTTTTGCTGAGCGGGGCTTCCTATCTATTAGGGATGCAACACACCACCAGAATGTGTCTGCTGAAATAATGTGCAGTACAGGTAACTTCCACAGGAGCAGTAAGGCAAGAGATACAACCAAAGGTGAGGAAGTTCTTCAGGTTAGCTCTGTAAAAAGGAGGGCTTATCTATTGAGATGGGTGAATTTGTAAAGGAGTATTAGCTTGCTGCCATCTCTAGCTGTTGTAAGATGATTGCACATTCTGGCCTTCACATGACAACTTGTCTTTTGTCAGAAGTGGGTCAAGAACTGCAGACCGAGCAGACACATGTATGCATGAGAGGTATGTCTGCATACCTCTAAACACGTCCAGCCAGGAGGAGCACTGCTCTGAGGGAAGGACCTCTGCAGATGGCAGCAGGCTGGGATCCTGGGAGCAGCCACCTCTAGCCACACTCACCGGACTGTAGGTGTGTACTTCTTAGTGTTGTGTTATGCTCTTGTTTATTTTACTTCTGCCCAGGCATATTCTCCCAAGATCTGGGATCGAGAGCTGTGGCTTGTGTCCCAGCACTGCTTTTGGAAGCAGTGAAGAGAGCTGCAAAACATCTGCTAGCAGAAATGTAAGCTCCACAGAAAGAAAGGCATGCATAACACTGTGTTAAGCTGCAAAGCCCCTGCAGCTCTCCCAGCTCAGCATGGACAAGCTTGATGTTACCTGCATGGAAATCTAAGGGTGGTGTTTTATGGCTTTTGATGCACTGGCCCGCACAAGATTTGGAAATTTATCTACAAGACAAGTCCTAGGAACTGAAGCTTCCCTCACATTACATGATGACTTCCTTGATGAACAAAATCACTTGCCATGCAAGCTGGTAAAACAGACTTATTTCTGGTGCCTGAAGTGTGACACATGCACAAACTTGTCCCCCACCATTACAAAGGACCTGTGCAAGGACTCTGATATGGACCTGTATCACATCTTTATCTCCAATTTGAAGAGAGACAGATTTGAAGGATGGACTATTCAGTGGTTAAAGAATTGGTTGGATGGTCACAGCTCGAGTGTTATTGTTAGTGGCTCTATGTCCAGGTGGAGATGGTCACATGTAATTTCTCTCAGGGGTCATTACAGGGACTGATTCTCTTCAACATCTTTATCAAGGACATAGACAGTGGGATTGAGTGTACCCTGAGCAAGTTTGCTGATGACACCACGATGAGTGAGTGGTGCAGCTGACACAACAGAAGGGAGATATGCCATCCAGAGGAACCTGGACTTGCACAAAAAAATGGGCACATATGAATCTAGTGAGGTTAAACAAGGCCAAGTGAAAGGTGTTGCACTTGGTCAGAGCAATCCCAGATATGTGTACAGACTGGGAGATGAACTCATTGAGAGCAGCCCTGCAGAACAGAACCTGGAGGGTTCTGGTGGATAAAAAACACAAGCCAGCAATATTTGCCTACAGCCCGGAAGGCCAATGATATCCTGGGCTGCATCAGGAGAGGGATGGCCAGTAGGGAGGGAAGGGGATTGTTCCCCTCTGCTCTGCCTTTGTGAGGCCCCATCTGGAGTACTGCGTCCAGATCTGGGGCCTCCAGCACAGGAAGAATGGGGGGCTGTAGGAGAGGGTCCAGAGAAGGCCACAAAGATGATTAGAGGGCTGGAGCTCCTCTCCTGTGAAGAAGAGTTGAGACACTAGGGCTTGCTTAGCTTGGAAAACAAAAGGCTCTAGAGAAATCTCATTGCAGCCTTCCAGCACTTGAGGGGAGTTTATAAATATGAGGGGGACCAACTTTTTACATGGTTGGATAGTGACAGGAGAAGGGTAATAGCTTTATATTACAAGCAATAGCTTAATAAATGAGGGGAAATTAGATGTTTGTTAGATTAGGATTTGACAAATTCTTTACTCAGAGGGCAGTGAGGCAGTGGCACAGGCTGCCCAGAGAAGCTGTGAGTGCCCCATCCTTGGAGGTGTTCAAAGCCAAGGTGGATGGGCCCCTGAGCAGCCTGTTCTGGTGACATGTTGCTGCCCATGGCAAGAGAGTTGAAACTGGGTGATCTTCAGGGTCCTTTCCAACTTAAGCCATTCTGTGATCACTGACCAGCAGCCAGATCAAAAGAGCCAGTGCCATAATTTATAGCAGCAGATGAACAGGGCTGAAGCCTTCTTCCAGCAAATAATAGTTTGTCTATAGTTGTCTTGAAGAAGTCTGAAAGAAAAAGTCAGTTATTCAAAGATGGATACAAAACAGGAAAACAGGCTGCATATCTCAGGACTGCCCAAAGAATTCTGTAGTCCACTGCTAGTAAGCATTAGTGAGGGGCACAAGGACCAGAAACATTGCACATGCTGCTCCAGAACCAAACAAGCTGAGCTAGGAACTAGATATCCTGAAGTTTTACTTAAAGTGTAACACAGAATGCAGATTTACAAAGAAAACATGCGACTTGCTCCCATCTCTGGCTCCTGTACTACTTTCCAGCTCTGTCGATTGTGAGCAAACTAACGAATCTCTCACCATGGTGCATCTGTCCTTCCCACTGCTCTCTAGCAACTCTGCCAAGAGTGTGAGAGCTGCTCCTCCACCTCCTGCCAGGAGGAGGCTGTGCAACCCAGCGTTTGAGCTCCTAACTGCAGTGCTGGACTGCACTGTCTGCTCCTACCACCATCCACTTGTGAACTACAACTACCTGTGCAGCCTCCTCTCACTTCTCTGGCACAAGTTATTTCCACTGTCTTTCATTAGTATTCATTGAATTGGTAAAGTGGTGCCCCTTAGAACTTAATAATGACAACAGCAATCATGTTAGGGACCTTCTTTGAATAGGAAGTCAAGGTAAATGCAAGGTATTTTTTGATATATCATTGCCAGACTGCACAACATCTATCTTAACAAATGGGAAAGTCAAGATCTGAGCAGGCAATATTTTAAAATAAAAAAGGAAAGGTAATTTTCATTCGGTTTCTAATGGCCTGGTTTGTTCACTTTCAATGAAAGAAGGAGTTTCTCTGGAGCACATAGGAGTCAATCACTGGAGTTGGTTACAGTCTGCATTCTTAACCCAGCAAAGCAGAACATCACAAGGCAGTGGGTTGTTGACTAAGGCACATCCAGGCAGCTGGGCTACGCACAAATAGAATGCAGGGAGTCCCAAGGACAGCAGGGTATGTGTTGTTAATGGATTCTTGGGCAATTTCAGAGCTGTGGCCTACCCACCGTCAGGCACCTGGAGCTCAGGAAAGAGAACTTTCAGTACCAGAAAGGCAATCTCCATGTCTTCATTTCTCAAAAACAGGCATCTTAAAGCACTGTGCAACAAAGGTGCTCTTTGTTTTCAACCTTACTGTGGGCTGTGTGATATAATTTTAAATTCTGATTGTATTTAAATAGGTCTTACTCAGGCAATGCAAGTGCTTGTGTGAACTTGGCCAGCATCATAGAGCTGGGCTTCAAATACTTTTATTCTAGCATCTGCAGGAGGTTGTTTGCATAGGGATGACAGAAAATTAGAATGTTGGCTTAATTAGTTTCCACACAGTGTCCCCATCACCTGACAAGGCAGCCCCATGTCTAGACAAAGCCAACCTAATTAATAGCTTGGCAGTTGAAATTGTTTGTAACAAATGTGTCAACTTCCTTAGCACCTTCTAGCCAACAGAACTAGAGAAATTCAATTACTCCTAATTAGCCAACATGCATATAAGATATGCAGAGATCACCAACCCCGACATGCTGACTGATGTAGAGTGATAGGGTAGGAAAGCATTACCTGAGGAAGCCAACTGACTGCTGTGGTTATCCTTATTCTGATAGCATCCTGCAAGGCTGTCCATGACAGATGGATCCACATCTCCAGGATCTCTGCTCCAGGGACCAGGGATGAGGACACCAAGGCTCCGTATCAGCATTCCTCTGAACCTTCCTGTGAAAATCAATGCGCAGAAGGCTGCTGTAACCGTTCATTTGCTTCTATCAAGAACAGAAATTCTGGGGAATGCAAACAATTGGGCAGCCAGTAAGCTAAGAACAGCAAAATCTGCACCTTCGGTGCAGCTAAACGTGCCCCTCAGAACCCAGAACTCCATCAGTTTTGGGTTATTTAAGATGAGGAATGTAAAATCGGATCTTGCATAATTAAAAAAGAAAGCAGTTAATAAAACAAGTGCTTCATAATTTGAAATGATCTATTTGTTCCTTTAAATACCAATGGACTTGCTCAATGAAGTGGGAATTTAACAGTATCCGTTAAAAATTGAAGACTATAAATAAAAAAGTAGCAATTAATTGTGTTGGTGATTTTTAGAGGCTGGAGCTTAGTTTGTCACACTCTGGCAGTCTATCAAACACGGCTCCATTACAGATGTCTTACAGCTGAATTGATGACAATACTCAACTCTAAGGGCATTCCCTGCACTAGTCCTACCCTGATGAAAGAGCTCAGATGCATAGATGGGTTATGTGATTCTATCACTCTTACAGTGCAAATTACAAATGTTAGAAGTGTCAGCTTAATGAGTCATGCAAGAGTCTTCAATGTTCTAAGTCACTGGATCCAATTAATTTTTAAGTGCACTGAAAATGAGCAATGAAGACTGAGAAGGAGCAGTCCCATGGTTTCCCCACATTCACTTTTTTACCGATATTTTAAAAGTTGCACCTAATAATGCTTCCAAATAGCCAATTTAACAATTTAATAATTGTTATTTTAGCCATTTAATATTTGGCTATTTATTTTGAACCAAGCAGCTGACAGTATATCCTCTTCAGTCCTTAAGTCAGTCATGAAATGATTCCGCTTTGCACGAAGAAAACTGGAAACAGAACACAAGTGTTCAGTGAAAGAAACAGTAATATTTTCTTTGTCTGTTACTAGAAAAACTAGTCACAGATGAGACATTATGAGGCATAGTAAGAGTATGTTGATTTTATTTGCTTCACTGTACTCAAAAACTCCCTTGTTTTTGTACAGTATGTGGCATATGTAATGGAGTGAATTTTATTTCTGGTGAGTTGTGCTTTCTTTCAGTACTATGGGCCCACACTGCTGGCCAGTCTCACGAGAGCGAAGGGGAAGGGCCTTCTGTTGTTACAAACAGGCTTTTCTGGTCTTCACGTAAGTAGCTTTTACTAAAACCCTGAGGTTTTGAACATTAAACTCTAGATTTCATCAAGTGCATATCTTGCTAGCCAACATGCTTTTGCTCAGACAAGTGCCTTTTGGTGGCTGCAGCTCATCTGAAATTGCTGATGTAGAGATCTCCTTCCACACCACCAGAACGCTGGGCAATCTAAGTGCCAAGGAAGCCCCCCACTCACTGGCCAGGTTTCCTACACCAGCAGGCCTGTGCTCTCTGGGAAGGGCCCCTGGGGACGTGTCACACCTGGTCTTCCTGAGGGAAGGGAATATGAACTGAGTGCTTTGAGCTGACCTGAGCTCTGCAAGCAGAGCAGGGAGCAACAGCCTTCCTGACTGATGGAATGAGACACCCCGAGTCCACATGCCTCTCCTAGGCTGCACAAAGGTTAAAAAGAAAAAGCAAAGGTCTGAGCGGCTGCAGTGCCATAAGCTGCTTCAGGTGTTCACTCAGTGAGCGAAAGCCAGAGACTGGGACCGCAGAGAGACGGGATTCTGAAGAGGCAGCCAGCAGCACATTGGGGTTACAGGCACGTGAAGGCCCCATACCCTGTAAATATAAATGCAATGTCTGACTCTCATTAGTCATGGAAAAACCTGATCACTGGGTGCGCAAATGGGCAACTGAGAAGTGCTGAAGGTACACAGAAGCACTTCTTGGAGCATGGAGAAATGAAGCTCTCAGAAGCTTATGTCTGAATAAAAGACTCGGTTTGCCTGAATGGACTTTTAGCAAGAACAATTAGTGGACTGTCAGATTCCAGTGATGCTGAGTGATGCTGCTGGTGCTAACCCTACGTCATCGTGTAACAGAGAAGTGTCTTAGCCGACAATGCTGGAACTGATTTTAAACCCTTTCAAACACAGGACATTTCAATGCAAGGTTTGTGTTTGGATCTGCCTGTTCTGAGAAGAAATCCTCACCTCCAGGTTGTAGTGCAACCTGTATTAGAATCATAACCTGTATCAAAGCACAAATAAAGAAAGACACAAAAAATATATATACTTCCAGAAAGTATCAAGAAAATTCTGTGCTTGCAATACAAAACGTTGCTTGCAGGGTTGTTTTAAGAGCCAGAAGACAAAACTTCAGGTTTAAAATAAGGAATGAACTGAAGTAAAACTGCAAAAAAAAAAAAAAAAGCATGGCTTCTTTATGCCACCTACTGGATTTTTCCTGAACTATCTTTGGGAAACAGTACAGTACATACAGAACACTTCGTTTCAGCTGTCACAGTCCTGCTGGGGTCCATCCCTACAGAAGATGCTTACCTTTGCATGGGGGGCTACCAACACAGGAAGATTGCTTGCATAAATGGCATGTGTGGGTTGTCACAGCACAAGCACTGGAGATGGAGCAGCTGTACACTGTTTGTTCTGCTGACCAATGGCCGCGTAGCAGTCAGGGCATCCGTAGTCCTACAGCTGTAGATGAAAGCTACCAGGAGCCAGCTAGCAAGGTGTCTCACAGTCACTGCCAGTGCTCCAAGGGATGTGCTGGCATATTTCTCTCTTCTGCTTGGCTCCCCCTGCCTATTTCCTGGTATTTTGTTCCCTATGTCTGGAAAGTTTATGCACACTTCTGTCTTTTAGCACTCCGGCTGCTGATCTCTCTCTATTGGAAGATCTCAACTACCCCTGTGGTTTGGTCTGTAAAATGACCTAGGGGAGTCAAAAAGATCTGCTGCAAGGAAGGGGGCAAAAACCCACTGATTTGACCCACTGCCTGCAAACAAATACATACGTATGTCTGATGGTTGCACTGGAAGTAATGCCTCCTATTTATTTGCATGGAAACTACAACAGATACAAAGAACACAATAACACCATTAAGTATAGCAATTTTTCAGCTACAAAACGCTATTTTTCAACATAGTCAACACCATTACCTAATTCACACAGATGAGCTGATTGTGATACTCTTCATTCTGTGGTATGACAGCTGTGTATGGCCAACTGGAACAGCGCTTGTCTTTCACAGTACTGTCAGCACTGCTGAAATGCACTTATGCACCACCTCACTGTGCTCACATTCGCTGCCTGGTCTCCGGAAATGTTCAGCAAGCATCAATGAAATGCCATTTTTTCACATGGAGGAATTCAGTTGCACCCCTTTGCTCCGTCCACATTTCCACATCAGATGCCATTGTGTCAGACTGCCCCTCTGCTGCCATTTGTCTCATGGCAACAAAAAGTAACAAGATATTGGTGGGAAGGGTCAGCCTCTACTGCCATAGCACCAACATCTGCCTCTGATGTCATGGTCCAACATCATAAAATAGGAGGCAATACTTTTGGAGCAGCAAAAAGTTAAAGAGGATACATACAAAAGTTAAAGAGGATCAGATCCAGCAGAGACCCAGGCGGTACATAATCTTGGGATGCAGAGAAAAACACGAGGGTTTGAAGTCTCATGAAGAGAGGTCTGTGTGTCTGGAACAGAAGATGATGCTGCACTGCCCCTGGCTGCATCCAGCCCTTGCTCACTGCTGCAGAGAGGTGGCCATGGGGGCTGTGGTACCCAAACAAATGACAACATCACTACGGGACAAAGGCTGGGGTCTAACGGAGCTACTGGGAGGAAAGGGGAGAACTGTACTCCTTTGTGGCCATGGACTGATGCATTCTTTTTTTCCAGCTACTTTAAATAAGAAATGATTAATTTACTTTGCTCAGTACGGAATTACAGAGTATGAATTACAGAAAAAACATTCATTTTTCAGAACAGTGTGATAAAGAAGCACTCTTGGTTTAGCCATGGAACACAAAGGAGTAATACAATCTCCTCCCAGTTTCCTAACCACAGAAATCTTTTTGGAATCTTTTTATGGGGGAGACAAGCCCTGAATGTACTCAACCTGCTGACACTGATGAAACCAGTGATCTCTGTTCTGCAAGCAACACTGTCAGAATTAGGACCTTTTTAATTTGTGTCCTCTCTACTGAGCTGCTCAGGCATGCCAAATGAAATGGTGGAGGCATAGCTGTTCCTGGAGTCAATGGCTCTGTCAGCAAATATGACTTTTTCTAGGTGCAAAGAATCATCAAAAGACTTGAAACAACAGCATACAGATCATTGCAAACAGATGACATTTTGTACTTGAGAGACTTGTGCAAAAACATCTAGGCACAGTAAAAAGGCTCTTCTTAGAATTTTTCATCATAAACAATTCTTAAAGGTCCTTATTTCCAAAGGTATGAGCAAATAGTAGTGATGCCAAGTCAGTAACATCACTGCTAGCATCAAACTAGAAGCACCCAGCCGCACTGAACAAGTGAATCTGATTTCCTGAAGGCTTGCAGTAAGACTGCTCAGGTCTGTATTAGAGCTGTGTGTAGTGACAACCATCTCTCCTTCCCACATGAATCCATGGACAGCCAGCCCCATGCGTTAACATCCTCACCAAATGCTCATGAAAAAAAAAAAAATAGAGCAACATTACAAGCTAAAACCATCCTCTAAGTGTGGCACGAGCAAACTAAAACAAAGGGATGCATAGTTGGAGGCTTGGCTGTGCCCTTGTGCTCAGCAGGCACCTCGCTATTGTGGTGGCATTCACCCAGAAAACTAAATTAATTTAATTAATACTTAACTCCTCACCAATAGATTTCATAACATCATGGATAACGGGGATCTGTGTCATTTCCTGAAAAGCAGGACTATGAAATACTTACATGAAAGACAGGTGAATTTGTGCTCTTGTGGGATCTGTTGCATTACTTGCATCTTGTGAGTCATTTTTCAGCTGTCTTGCTTAGTTCGTAAGTGAAAAAAACACCTGTATGCAGTTACTGACTACTATTACTGCCTGTCTTTGCCCATTCCACATGCCATGTTTCTTTTCTCCTTTTTCACTCCCTCCAGTTTTTCTCTTCCTCCTCCCGTCATCTCTGCTGACCTTTTTCTTCTCCTACCTTTTCACACTTCGAAAAGTTGTTTTGTCGTAGTTTTGTTTGTTTTGTTTCCTTTTTCCGAAGATTTAGCCTCCTTTTCATCTCCTTTTTCATTCAGGACGATTCGCATCTGAACGGCCACACAGCAGCTGCCGGGGCTTACCCAGTCACAAAAGAACTTAACCTGGAGATTCCCTTTCAGGGCTGACTTGCAGCCAACAACTTCGGAATGCCCCTACAAGACTGCAAACGGCTTCATTCAGTAACGGATTTTACTTTCAGTCTAGGAAGCTAAGGACGCCCGCCTGCATCTTCGCCTGCTTAAACATCAGCGAGATACACCGTTCATTGTGCAGCAGAACGGTCTGACTCCCGTTCGGGGCCACCTGCGTTCATTTTCTGCTCCTGCAGGAAAACGCGCGGTCACCGCCCGCCGGAGCTGCGGTCGCAGCACCGCGCTGCGGGTTGAGGCTGGGCTCAGCCGGGGCACATCAGTGTGAGGAGGGCAATGCCACGCGCATCTGTGCCATCAAATAAATGTTTCAACCTGCTTAACGGACGGTACTGCAAAGCACCGTGCCGCAAGGCTCTCCCCGGCGGGGCTGGTGCTGGCGGCCGGCGGTCTGCGGGCTCAGCCCGTGCAGGGCTAGCGGGAGAGGGCTGCTGGGAGGTGGGGGGAGAGGGAGAGAGAAGCTCTCCTTGGCTTCTTCCAGCAGAAATAAATTTCTACCTACTGTAACTTATTACCATCCGATATGCTGAGTCATGAAGCTGGGTTATAGAAATCTTTATGCAATCTTTATAAATCAGCCCCGCGTAATCTCAGGCGCTTTCTGCTTCATCTCTGTCGAGTCACTCCTGTGACAGTTGTCATTCATCTTAGATGGAGATGTAATTTAATAGTTTCATTTCACCATGAAGATAGCGTCATCTAAAGTTGAGCCCGGAAAGATTTAAAGGTGTAACAGAGGAAATATTAATACTGTAAATAATATCTGTAGAGCCGCCTGGGGCCGTAAATCACGTCGCGCCGGGCTGAGCGGGATTCTATGGAAAAGAGAAATGCATCTTCCGCGGCTCCCCGCAGCGCGCGGCTTCGGCCGTCTGAAGCCGGCACCAAGCGGGCGCGCCGGCTCTCCGCGCTCCCCCCCGGCCCACGGAAGCACCGACCCGCGGGCGGCGGGGCACGAAGCGCGGCCGCGGGGCGCCGGCGGCGGGGGCTCCCG